CACTTTCCTTGTCTTGAGGTGGTGCCGAGAGGCCTGCCGATAACGTCATTTGCTAGCGTTAACTAACAATCCAACAACCCCATATCATTGCTCAGTGATGCGCATCGTTGGGGCCGTCGGAAAGTCGCCTTTGGCTGGTTGGTTCCTTGTTGACAGCTTGCATGAACACCACCCGGGTTACTGCCGACACAGTGTGGGTGCCTGTCGGGTAGTCGCTCCATAGCGTCAGTCTAGAGAACTCGTAGTGCCTTCCCACTGGAGAAGGAAAGGTCGCGCAGTTTCTGCTGAGACTTTTGGGGGCATCAATGGAGACGTGTGGATGCGGGAGGCGTTGTGGGGGTGTTCAATTCCACCGGACAAGAGCCGTGGCACGTCTCTATATTGTACACGGTCAGCTTGACTAGACGATCGGAAGCGCATTTTGTGTTTCATTTCCATTTGATCCCGCATCGCCCTCTTGAGCTATTGTGCGTTGTAGAAGGCCTCGGTGCTCATGCTGATCGCTGGGCGAGACATAACGAAGACACCAGGGGGTCTCAGTCGTTCAAATAAGCATCGCAATGCGTAGTCATGTACCGATAGCTTGGTAAAAACTGGACTGAGGATATGCAACTTACTGTTAGTCGATCTTAGGACGTTGAGGTTGTCCAGTTGAGGTTTTGTCGGCGTACAACATGTTCGCGGGTACGAGGCGCACGAAGAGGCTATGCCATGTAGAAGTACGTTGCGCAGGTAATGCGTTTCAGTATATACAAAGCTACAATTGAAGTAGCGCTGCCCTGGTTATATAAGAAGGAAGACCAGTGTCGAGATCATCTCCGAGGTGCGGGTGCGGGGAAAGACGCTAGGGCACGGTACCAGACGCACGTCAGCCTTGCACAAGATCGACGAGTCAGTGTGGTTCGTCGCCTGATTGACGTGTCTACCAAATGATTTCATTGCGCTACATACGTAAGGAGTCGTGAACAGCTGCAGTGCTTCATCTGCGCTCAACCCTGCCACTTGGTACGCCTCTGCCGAAACATGGATACCATACCGATCGGCAGCAGTCCGAAGTCAACTACATTGAGGCCACCGAACTTACCAATCATGTCCGGGCCGTACATTTGTGCGATCCACTTCCAGTAGGCATCCATGTGATACCAGTCTGCGGTGATGCCACGTAAATTGTCAGAACGGTCCTCGAGCTGCTCCAGCGCTTGCAGGACCTGTTCACTGTCGTCGATGGGCTTTTCCTTTGGGCGCTCAAGCAGCGTCTTATAGACTTCCGTTAAGTTCGCCTTACCCATGGGAGCGAACGTCTCAGGATACTTAGTGAACTCCTCGAAGGATAAGAATGTGTTGGGGTCGTCAGGCTTCCAGTTCGCGTCCTGGAAACTGCGGCGCGCGTTATGCCGGATACCCTTGTCAAACGCGCGCTTTATAGTGACGTAATCATCGTGCAAGCTCTCTTCGTACTCATCCAACAAGTCGTACGGGTTCTCTTTGACCGAGTCTCGGATTTGCAAGAGTCCAACGAATGGAGACTTCAAATCAAGACCTCCAAGCTCGACTGGGAAGAAGAGGAACCCGTCTGGCACGTCTTCAACAGAGAAACGCTCTTTGATCATCGTCTTGAGATGCTGTACAATGCTGCCATCGGGAAAAATGCTATCTTGGATATGGCGATGGGTGGCGAGCATCATATCGACATGTTCGCGACCGAAGCAGTTGGAGGATGTCCCAAAATTGGAACTGAAGAAGGTAGCCGCATACGAATTCTGTTCCCGGTGGTCAGTCATCGAGATAGGAGATGGAGGGGACTACATTACTTACCCAGACCTGGATGTAGTCGATGACGCTTTTCATCTTGCCTTGCAGTTGCGTGCGCAACTCTTCCACATGACCATCAACCATCTTTTGATCGATCTTGAACTGGCCACTCTTTGGATCAAGCTGCAAGAATCCCCATCGAATCTCACCTTCCGGGAGTCGGTCGTCAATCTCAGCATCGGCGTCGCGTGAGATGCGAACACTGCCTGTCTTCTTGTGGTCAAGCTAGAATTATCGTCAGTCGAATCAACGTGCGCAGAGTTCATCAGGAGACTGACCTTGGTTCCCGTAACTTCTGCAAATTTGACGATACTTGCCCAGGCTTTGGCACACGTGTTGTAGTCCCTGTGCCAGAACCAGACGTTATCACCAAGACGGTATAGATCTGGCCCGCTGGCGGCTTGGTTCGCCGCGTAATCCAAGCAGAACAACACTGCCTCCCCCAAAGTATCGCTCAGAGCGTGTGAGCCTGGCATGCCTCGACGGCGTAAACGCGGCTCAGCGGATGGGTCATCATTGAACTTCAGAGGTGCCTGAAGGTATCGCTCGAAGAACTTCTTCCACCTATCCGAGACGCCAAGGAAGTCTAGGACCGTATGAATGGTCTGATGTGGCAGTAGTGGATTCCACGAGTCAAAAGTCGTAGAGAAGCAGGTCAGTTCTCCGTGTAGTCTTGTGTTCAGAACAATCTCGGTGGACAAAAGATGAAGTAGACCTTGCTTTGCTTCCATGGGTTTCTTGGATCGGCGTCGGTAGTCTTCATCGTCGCGGTCGTACGAGTCCCTGTCGTCCTCTATTCCCTCATCGACCTCGGCGCTCGCGTAACCCCCGCCAGCACGTTGGTTGGGTGCAGCAGCCCCGAACAAGCCGGCACCTTGAGAAGCTATTCTTGCTGTCTGCTTCGTACGCCCCCCACTTGGTTGCTGTACTGATTGCTGTACTGATGTAGACCGAGCTGGTAATGACATGGACTGAACTCGCATTCGAGCCCCATCCGGCTGTCCGTTATTCCGGTGCTTCTTGGCTACGTAGTCTCCATACTCTGCCTCCTCTTCGCCATCTACGGCCTCGAGTCGCTGCGTGGGGTAGTCCAGCAATTGGTGGGCGAGATACCGATTGTGGTGCATACTCATCCGCTTCTTCTCAACACTGGACTGGGTACTCGCACCCTTATCACCCAGGAAGTACGATCGGCGCAAACGGTCATCTTTCGGAACCTCTGTGTAGTTTCTCGGCCAAGCTTGATGCTTGTGCATATGCAAGAATGCGGACTTAAAGAAGACGGACCTAGAAGTTCTGCAGTCAGAACTTGCGGGTTCATGTCTTACGATGAAATCAACTTACCATTTCACGCCGACGTAATGGAGGAAGATTGCCTGAAGAAGGTCCGGATCGAAATGGATAGAGAAGTCGCCATTGATCTTCCTTCGCTGCTCTAGTAGAACATACGATCCCCAAGACCAGCGATCGAGAGATGCCATGCGCACGTTGAGAATGTCGCACAGTTCCGCGAGTATCACATCTACGGTACTGTTAGCTACTGGCTGCTTTCACACGATACGGGTACTTACCATTATCGAGAAAGTCTCTGAGCGCCTCTCGCTTCTCGTTCGAAAGCAGATCAGAATTCAGAAGACCTTCAATGGTCGAGCGAAGGCTGTGGGGGTCGAACGGTGTCGAATAGTTCAGATTAGCCTCGAAGTTCTCGACTGTCTTGCGCAGCTCGCGAATAGCAGCGGAGCTGTCTTTCTTGTTCGCCTGGAACAACTCATCAAGATACGATCTTAGTGCTTGCTCGTCTACTTCGGCCGCTTGGAAGACGTCTTTCTCCCATGCGGCGCGGGACGCCAGCTTTTTAGCACCAGGCACTTCCTCGAAGCTCTCACCCATTTCGACATCGCCATCGTCTGTTGCAGACTTTTCAGAAGAAAGCCATTCAGTGACGAGCTTGCCGTAGAGGTCTGCGTACTGGTACTTGGTCGACTGAACGGAAAGATACCGCAACAGTGTCTGTTCCCAGTCTGAGAGGACTTTGTTCGAAACAGAAGGATCAAAGCGGGCCTGTTCAACGAAGCGATCGAGGTTCTTGAGATCAGTCTCGAGACGAAGGTTCCTGGATGTTCCGCTGATAACTCGACCGACTCGCCCATCCTTGGTTTTCTTCTCCGTCTGGAAGCCCAAACAAGTTTTCGAGCCATCGAGAAGAAGACATACGCGCTTCAGTGGGTCTGCTTCGGCTTTCGCGGCGGTGGTGAGTGCAGCATACTCTTCTTCGAATACTGCGCGCTGCTTCGCAAGCTCTTCGAGCTTGGTGGTCGTGATGGTCTTGAGCGTCGCCCCAAACACACTGCCGGACGACGTCGCCATGGCTAATTCTGACGCAACTGTCTCAAATGAGGAAAGTGGATGAGTGGTAGGCTCGAAAGACTGGCCGAAGAAAGGGTGTGTGACGACTGGCTTCAGTAGTGGTCGCAAAGACTGGTAAAAGAAGACACTGGGAACGTGGTTTGCCTCACTCAGTGTGTTTCGAAGGAGGCAGGCTTGCTCGTATATATAGTGATAGAATTGCACTTCCGCATACTGAGTGCAATTCTTACCTAGCCAGTAGGCAGTAAGGCAGGCAACAGGCAGCAAGCGCTTGGCAGGACCGTGCCCCAATTCAGTCCGTAACGCGGGGTACGCCTGGATTTATGCATCCTACCAACCTTGGAAGTGACACAATATGACACTACACACTGAAAGATCGGTGTTTGATATGCTGAATGGGGTTTCGCAGAGAAAAGATGGATGGAGCCCTGGATATCTGCCCAGAAGGGACAATCATCTTTACCTGCCTATCGATAAGCGCACAGACCATGCATTGCTACCACGGCACCCTGTGTGAAAAATTCGCCGAACTCAAGAGAAGCTCTACCTTTTGCACACCTATATCTCTACTCTACTACACTTGTTAATTATTTTCTAATAGTACAAAGTAATAGAAAATTAAGAGCTCTATTTTTCTAGTTATTGAGAGTATTTTATTCTTTTGTTGTTGTGCTGCTAGAGCGTAATAAACATCTAGCTTTTTTGTTGATTGACTGGTTTGGTGAGGCAGAGTCCAGCGAATTTCTCACACAGGGTGCACGGCATTCTCGACAACTCACTGTGCCACTCAACCCCTCATCCAACATACTTACCCCAACTTATCAGGCGGCCACCTTCTCATAAATTGCTCTTTGAAACAATTCATGCAGCTTCAATATGCGCGGGCTCATCGGCGGTATGACCTGGCAGAACGCCACACCGCAGACCCCAGCTTCGAAGTCGAGATACCAGGTCAAACTAGGAACGCCGCCCCAGCAGACTGTCCGAGCATTCATACGTCCTTCCTGGCCTTGTTCGGCTATCATTCCAGCGAACGACCATTGCTTCTCGATATCTGCAGGTAGACCCATACCAAGAAGCTGCGTGTGAAGAGGTGAAGACTTGAGGTAGTCGTTCAGCTCCTCCTTGCATCTCTCATCGAGCTGCGGTTTGAAAAGCTCGTCCCAAGAGTCGTCGTTCAAAAGCCTCGAGTCGCGCTTCAATACGGATTGAAGAAAGATAAAGTAGGCTTCTGCGCTCGCGAAAGCACCTACACCTCCTAGGCAGTCTGTGGCATCGACGAACACGTCGAACCCTCCAGCATCCGTCGCCGGCCCCTCACCCTGCTCATTGAGCGTGCTGATGTTCGCCACGCGATCTTTGATATCGGATCTCTCTTTTGGGAAGAAGCTGATGTCTGTTATCCCAAGAGGATCCCAGATCTTCTCCTTCATGACGGCATCGAGTGTCTTCCCCGACACTTTCTCGATGACCTTGCCTGCCCAATCCGATCCCGGGCCGTATTTGAAGCTGGTGCCTGGTTCGTAGAGAAGCGGCAGGGTATGTTTTTCCTCAATAGTTGGTCCACAAGATGGGATCTCTCCGCGGCTTGCGCGCCACTTCGTCAAATCAGGGTTGAGCCAATCGTACTCGTGGCCATTCGTGTGACTCAGAAGCATCCTGTTCCGGTCAGTTTCCCATCAGCTAGTGCATTAGTACAACGCTTGCCTCAGGGTGATCGGCGTGGTGTTGGGCACAGTGACCGCCTCATTCGTCCTTTCGTCGAAGCTCGTCATAATACCGTACTTTCCAATACTAGGCAAGTATCTGGCCACGTCTTCATCGAGCGTGATTCGTCCTTCCTCGACACACCTCAGGGCTACAACTGCAGTCATGAGCTTCGTCATTGATGCGATTCCGCATATTGTATCGAGTTGGAAAGGGCGTGTCGACCCTTCTGCAAGCGACTGAACACCTTTGGCTCCCGAGTACAGTATGTTGCCTGCTTCGCTATTAGATGGCTGTTGCCTTGTGCCAAGGATGATTACGAACCGTCCTTGTTGCCCGCGAGAAGAGCATATCCAGGAAGAATCTTGTCTGCGATCGCCTTTTCGTACGCCTTTTCGAAGTCTGTCATGATGGCGATGGGTTCACTTTCGGACCACCAATTATCAACATGAGCAATGACTTTGAAGTCATCTTTATATCTACAACATATGTTGCGGATAATCAAGGCGTTGGCAAGGCGTATTGCAAACCCTAGGATTGCTGACTGCATGGTCAGAACCATCGCTACTCGACCAACCATTGACGTGTTGGTCTAGAAAAAGACAACTATACTTCCATCTCTGTTAGGAGTTCGTTGCGAACCAAAAGTCAAACCTGTGCAGCTCATGTACGATACTTCGATGTGAGTACATGCACCGACGCCGACACGCGACACAGTGGGGCTGCTGAGCGGGTACAGTACACCACCTGCACCCTTCTCAGACAACTATACTTCGGCTTGAGCGATGCACCACGCAGCCTCTACGAATCGCTCGATGCATTGTCGCAGCGCCCCTTTGTCCGAACGACCATTCCCAGAATACGCAAAATAGGCGATTGCTACGACTATTGCCGATCACGTTGGCGCGAGCACAACGGGGCATCGCGGCTGTCGGGAGAAAAAGGGATTGAAGAGAGGCCCTGCAGTTCATCTTAGGATCGAAACTGAGTACTGGCAAAATCCGAGTGCAATGAAGAGTCCTAGGTTGTTACTTCTAACATCCTCTGTGGGTGTTAAAGTCTTCTCTTGATCGCGATGGGTCGTAAGCTCATTGCGCACGCTCGCGAAAAGACGACCCCCATGCCCCCCAGTGCCGCTCTTCCGTAACACCCGTGGCCCAAGCCCGTTCCAAGTCCCGCAGGCGCTCGCTCCTCAATTTCCCCGAAAGTCAACCGAGTCATCGTTCGTCTAGGCGGCGCTGAGCGTTGAAGCCACGCGACAAACACGTTCGGCATTGCCGTAGTGCAAGGCGGCACATGGCAACGTTTGTTTTTCTTGGAGCCTGGAGTTGTGTTTGGATGGGGAGAGTTGATCGGCTGGCTGCCGAGTCAGGACTGAGGAGGATCGCCTCATTTGTGTGGACCCGTTTTTTTGCTTTCGCGATTCCGCGATGCTCCGCGGTACGATCATGCGGCTCCATAGGCCCCAGTCTGGGCATGCTGCTTGTGTGGTCTTGGACGCGCGTGTGCAGGCGTCGTTGTACATTGGAGGGTAGGCACGAAGACCTGGTTGACTGTTCATCTGATGAAGTATGTTGTTGGATTTGTCTATTGGTTCTGATTGTATTATTTCGTAGTTCTCTAATGTGATGTGACTTTCGTGACACTTTTCGGTTTGCGCTTGTCCGGGCGATGTACCCCTAGTCTTTCAAGGCGCTTGATCGTTGCTCCACGCTTCTGGTGACCTGTATGCCTCCGCCTTTCACAGGCAGTATGTATTCCTCACTCCCAGTACTCCCTTGCCCATGAACCATATTGACCATCTGGCCATCTTCCAGGGCGACCCACTCTTCGTCTCTTCCACTCAGACGACTCTTTATGACCGGTCGTTTCGCATAGCCTGCTGCAGGCGTGTGGGGATGTGAGCTACCGCTGCTTCCGAGTTTGAGTACGCGCTGGAGGAGGGGACGAAGTGTGGCGACGCATCCTACGATCATGCCGACGCCGTTCTCGGCGTAACCCCAGAGGATCACCTTGGATACACCATCTGCAGGATTGATCAGTACGTTTGCCCTGTGGGAGCAGAAGGATATGGGAACTTACGAAGGTAGTCGGTCGCATTGGTCAGATTAACAGTGTAGACAAGACGAATGCATGCTGAAAGACTTGCTCTGTGGCGCATTAGATGGTGATCTGGTTCCCAAGAGATAAGCGAAACTTACAATGCACCGAGACCGAGAATCACGCCGACCGAAAGCTTAGCAGTACGGTTCAACTGTACGTTCCAGAGCAGCGGTATGGGTAGGAGTGCGCAAAACCAATCCGTCGCAATGTTGACTGCAGTCGTCGCGTAGTATATGTCGGCCAGTGTTTGCGCTGGGTTGCACTTTCCACCAGGGGTTGAGGTATCCCAAGCGTACGACACTGGTGCGCACTGGAAGATGATGTACAGCATCGCAATCAAGTTCATGACGATGAACATGGCTGAAACAGTGTACAAGCTGTAGATGTAGGCCTTTCTCCGGGATGCGATGCGGATGAGCATGAACGAAATGCTCATCTTGATAGGGATGATCGCTGCACAGTAGAAAACCTCGAAGAAAAAGAAGAACTACATGGTTTAGCATGGAGAAACTACAGAGTTAGAGATAGGTGTAAACGTACCTCCATCCCTTTAACTTTCTCTTCTGCACTGAGCTTGTCGTCGTGGACCCCGACTCCGCTGAAGGCGCCCCCAATGCATGCTATTGTCAAGCCAGTGAAGGGGACCTGCGTCATTACTGTCAGTTGAGTTGTCTTGTATGGAATCCTCGAGGTTGGCTCACAGTTGCAGCTGTCATGCTCCAGTCATCCAAGCCCCAAGCATTGTTGTGTAGTCTCGTATAGACTCGCAATCCGAAAAGAATATAAGCAATAACTGCCAGTGCGATGACTGAAGCAGCAAGCTCAGGAGCGTTGTCGCCGTAGTAAGTCATGTTGATACCCTTACGCTGATAGCCACGGCTTCCCAGAGCGCGAAGTGGGGAGCGAAGGGATGAAGTATGCAGAAAAGATGCAAAAGAAAGACTAAGGAGGGAACATGTGGAAACACATCAGGATACGATGCAAAGATGCATATGCTTCAGGACATTGCGAATAGTTGTGAAGCAGACCCAAGCGGAGGCAACAAGCCGACCTGGTTTCAAGAAGGGAAAGAATTGGACGCATATCAACCTGTTATCGTTGATCTTCCGGGTTTCTCGAGTATCCACATCAGTCCAACAAATAATCTGACAGCTGTGTCGAGCACAAGCCGCCAGAAAGACCCGCACGAGACAGATTTTTGTCGCATTCTGGCATAGCTTCTGGGGCGTAATCTAGGATGCTGCTAGGAAAGTACGGCGACCCTCACCCGACGTTCGTTCCCGTGTCGAGGTTAGATATGGCGTGGGTCGCCTGACGATGTGGAACCGGTGAATGTGGCACGGCTGGACCATAGTCCTGGGTGCTGTTACGTGCCTGGCTCCTGAACGGCTCCTATAGATGGACCCTGAAGGATTCGAAATCTTCGCGACTGATACTCGCGTACTCGCCGTCCATGGAATGGCCCTGTTGAGCTGTAGGGGTATTGACATTCTGATACATCGCGCAGTGCAGGATAGATCCATTGGTGATCGTGCGATGTTTCTTGTCATGATACTGGGAGGTGCCGCGATGTCGGGAGTGCATCATCTGAAAAGATCGGCTCTCTCTTCTTCTTAGCTTCTGCACAGTTCTCCGTGCCCGGCCAGCGTGCCGTGAGGCTGCTAGCCGCGACGGCTGATGGACTCGTTGTCGGTAGGGGGTACGGGTAGCGCGTCGCTGGCGAACCTGCGTTAGTCGCGCCTCGCTTGCGAAATGCTCCGCAAAAGGCCCGAATCGTGGACCTTGTACCTTGAATTATCAACTCTCAACCGCTGCACGAATCCTTCGAGACGGCTGGTGATGAAGATGGGCGGATGGAAGGAGCCCATAAGGATAGGAGAGAACATGGGGAAGAGACGCGCATGGAACCATCACTTCAATCCCCGTGGACGGCTCGGCGCACTCATGCCTATCTGAGGTGAGGCGCGTGATCCTAGTTTCTCAACGAACGCGTTGTCGGGTGATGGATACACGAGAGTAAGAGTGCCGACGTCGTACTAACAGTGGCGTCTGTATGTTATGGCATTGGCCATAGTGCCCGGGTGGAGTGTGAAAAGTCGGTGTTTCGACGTGCGACTTCTCCTTACGTACCCAATTGACGCGACTTGCCATGACGTAAATGTGTAGCGCTAGCCGGATGCAGACATGCACTGATCCCAGATCCTGCACTGCGAGGCACGGGCGGCTGCCGAGTCGTTCGCTCAGACCTATCCGTCTCTAGACATAAAGGGACCTAATATTGGGTTTGAATGAGCGCTGATAGCTGGATGGGGGCCAGAAACGTCGAAGCGACTCGCAATTTACATCCCAGCACTAGATCCATACCAAATGTACAAGGAGCGCCCGGGACGTCTGACATTAGGCTGAGATATCACCAAACGTCTGTGTACCATCTACCATCCTAGTTCTTAGTATATGTCCACCGACATCTGAAGAGGCAGGCTTCTCATACCTAGAACGGTCACGTCAATTCCAAGGTGATCTCGGGGTGTCTACATGTGACAATGATGTTATTCCGATGCTGACAATACATTTCCTCGACAATCATCATCCACGCATACCCTCTATCCTATCAGTGCCGCATAACTGATTTGATGAAATCCTGATGACCGATGATGCTAGGACAGTTCAGGGCACATCTACAGGTTGCATCTCTTGCTCAAAGCCATCAACATCTTCGTGCAACCACGCGTCTTCGGGCGTCGTTCTTCGCCCTATCTTAAAAGCACTCCGCCCGCTCAGGACCTCCTCGCACAATCGCACTCGTTTTCCGTCGAATAGATGATCTATGAAGATTGTAGATATGTCTGATGCAGACTGCGCATCCACGCGTCGAAAGTCTCTCAATTGATGAGCATACCACCAACACGCTGCCACGGGAATACCCAAAGTGTAGTATTCTGTACTTTCCGCATATTCGGTTTGCAACTCCACCTGGAACCAGGTCGAAACGATCCTTCTTGAACCCGGCTGTTTGTACCACCTCAGTTCTTCATGATGTGCGTCTTCGGTATCTGGATGCCAGCCCCGGATACTATATGTATAGTGTTCCTGTCGTTCTTGGTGCGTATCCGGTCCCGGCCACCATGTGTAATCTTGTTGGCAAGCGCAATCTTGCGACTTGCACAGCCTTGTCCCTTTACATCGGGGGTGATAGGCTGCAGAGAGGAGCAATGTGAAGCGGCCTATCGGCAGCTTCATCTCATGCCCCGCAAATGTTCGAATTTCCAAACTGTGATCTCTGTTCAGGAGATCGCAGACACTTTG